TAGATGGCAAAATAAGCACACAAAAAGATAATCATCATTAGTCATCTAGAAAATGAAAACTGAGACCACAATGTTATGTATGCCACTCCACTCCCGCTGAAATGGGTAAAATTAAAAGGACTGACTATACAAAGTGTTGGTGAGGAGGAGAACAAACGGAAGTCTCATACCCTTCTGGAAAGAATATAAAATGCTCCAAACACTTTCAAAAGGAGTTTAGCAGCTTCTTAAAAAATTAAACATGCAACTACCATATGATTGATTCAGCGATTGCACTCCTAGGTATTTGCTCAAGAGAAATAAAAGCATATGCTCACACAAAGACTTAATAAGCAAAGTTTGGAACAGCTTCATGTGTAATAGAGAAAACTGGAAACAACCCAAAAGTTTATCAATGAATGAACAGATAAATAAGTTGTTGTATATCCATACAATAAAACACTATTCAGCAATAAAAAGAACTAATTATTGATACTGACAACATGAATGAATTTCTTTTTTTTTTTCCTTTTTGTCTTTTTTGCAACCCTCGGTGTCGCGCCCGTACCGCGACCGGCAACGGGATCGCAACCCTTGATGTCACGCCCGCACCGCGCTCAACCAGTGAGCGGACTGGTCTCTATATGGGATCCGAACCCTTGGCGGAAGTGCTGCCGCGCGCTCAAGCGCCACACTCTACCGAGTGCGCCACCGGGCCGGCCCGAATAAATTTCAATATAATGAAAGAAGCCAGACCAAAAGAAGGTTTATGCTGTATAGTTCCTTTTATATACAATTCTATCAAATACAAGCTAACCTACAGCGACAGAAAACAGACCTGGGCACTGGAGGGGGGATTATAAAGAGGAGGAAACTTCTGCAGGGTGATAGGTTCATCATATTGATTGTGGTGATGGCTTCAAAACACATCAAAATTGAACACTTCAAATATGAGCAGTTTACTGTATGTCAATTATATCTCAATAAAGCTGTAAAAACAAAAGTTGCTTGCTTTTTCTGTTTCTTGAGTGTGTTCTATTCTAGTTGGGCTGTTGGGCCTACCATGCTACCAAAACTGCTCATCAGATCACTAATGACCTCCATGTTGCTAAGACGGACAACACGTGACACAACTAATCACCCCCTTCTTGTAGCACTCTCTTCACTTGGCTTCCAGGACACCCAACTCTCCGGGATTCTGTACCAACTCAGCGGTCTCTCCTTCTTTTTCCCCTTAGTTAAAATTTCTCTTCATTTCTTCGCCACTGGAGTGCCCACAGCTTTTCTTTTCTAAATATAGCAATGTCTTCTGGTTTTGTGGCTGTTAGCACCATCTACTTACTGACAACTCGCACACTTCTATTTCTAGCCTGGAACTCTGAACTGGACATCATTTCCACTTGTATATGTAACAGGCATCTCATATTTACATTTTCCAAACGAAACTCTTAATTAACCCACCCCTGGTCCTTCCATAGCCTTTCCCATTTCAGTAAAGGGTAACTCTGTTCTTCCAGTTGCTCAGCTAAAATCCTTAACACCAATATCCAATCTGTCAGCAAATATCACTGCCTCTACCTTCAGACATCTTTTGACCATTTCTCAGCATCTCTGCATCCTGATCAAAGCCAACACAAATTTTCTCCTGGATTATTGCAACAGCCTCTTAATTGGTTTCCCTGATTTGCCCCTGCTTCCCTTAGGTCTGCTCTCCACATAGCAGCCATACTCTTCTATTAAAATAAAACAGATCACATGACTACTTGCTCAAAGTCTCTTCAAAGGCCTCTCCAGACTAGCTTCCTCTCCCTATTTCCCCACAACCCCTTCTACTCTTGGGATTCTCATCTTGCTGATTCTTGAATACATCAGTCACACCCCTACCTCAGGGGCTCAGCACTTAGCCTGTAATGCTCTTTCCACAGAAATATGGGAGGCTTGCTCCCTAACCTATTTGAGATTTTACTAACATGTCATTTTCTCAGGGGGACCCATGTTGACCACCCAATTTAAAATTAATTTTCTCGGGCCGGCCTGTGGCTCACTCGGGAGAGTGTGGTGCTGATAACACCAAGGCCACNTTAAAAAAAAACAAAAAAAACTGGATTTTAATGAGTGGTCTTTTACCTGAATGTTTCTTCTTGGAGCTGTTCTAATTGAGTTTGGAGTTGCAAGTGTCTTCTTCCTGCTGGACTGTTAGGATCTTCTATAGAATCAGATTGATTGAGTCTTTCCATTAATATCTGATTCTCTGCTAACAAACTACTTTTCTCCTCTTGTAATGCTGCAACCTGTTGGAATACAGGAGGGCAGCAATTACTTCTTCCAGTTACACTAGCATCAGCTTAATCACCTGTTAACTACCATTATGAACTAAAGCCTATTTTTAAGGAAGTATAATCAATGTCCACTTAAAACATTTATATTATCTTAAAATATTGCACATAAAGAGTAATATATAAGAGTAAGAGAATTCACTCTTTATTTCACATTTGAAGAGACACTTCACCAAAGAAGATATATAGATGGCAAAATAAGCACACAAAAAGATAATCATCATTAGTCATCTAGAAAATGAAAACTAAGACCACAATGTTATGTATGCCACTCCACTCCCGCTGAAATGGATAAAATTAAAAGGACTGACTATACAAAGTGTTGGTGAGGAGGAGAACAAACGGAAGTCTCATACCCTTCTGGAAAGAATATAAAATGCTCCAAACACTTTCAAAAGGAGTTTAGCAGCTTCTTAAAAAATTAAACATGCAACTACCATATGATTGATTCAGTGATTGCACTCCTAGGTATTTGCTCAAGAGAAATAAAAGCATATGCTCACACGAAGACTTAATAAGCAAAGTTTGGAACAGCTTCATGTGTAATAGAGAAAACTGGAAACAACCCAAAAGTTTATCAATGAATGAACAGATAAATAAGTTGTTGTATATCCATACAATAAAACACTATTCAGCAATAAAAAGAACTAATTATTGATACTGACAACATGAATGAATTTCTTTTTTTTTTTCCTTTTTGTCTTTTTCGCAACCCTCGGTGTCGCGCGCGTACCGCGACCAGCAACGGGATCGCAACCCTTGGTGTCACGCCCGCACTGCGCTCAACCAGTGAGCGGACTGGTCTCTATATGGGATCCGATCCCTTGGCGGGAGTGCTGCCGCGCTCCCAAGTGCCGCACTCTACCGAGTGCGCCACCGGGCCGGCCCGAATGAATTTCAATATAATGAAAGAAGCCAGACCAAAAGAAGGTTTATGCTGTATAGTTCCTTTTANGCTGACAACACCAAGCCAAGGGTTGAGATCCCCTTACCGGTTATCTTTAAAAAAAAAAAAATTAATAAAAAATAAAATTAAAATAAAAATAAAATTAATTTTCTCTACTCTGTACTCCTTGCTTTACTCTTCTCTGGAATACCTATGGCCACATAACATACCATAATTTTATGTTGTTAATGTCTGTCGTCTTTACTAGACAGTGAGCAAGCTGGGGGCAGGGATGTTTTATCTATCACTGTTTCCCCCCATCTTCGCTGAATCTATAGCAACCAGAACTGTGCATGGCACGTAGTGGGTGCTCAGTAAGTGTCTGTTGAATAAATGAATGAAACTGAAATGCCAGCTCTATAATTTGTCATATTTCTAAAAATGCATGAGTCCTTTTTGGGCTCTATTCTATGTTTCTGGTCTATTTCATTCATTTCTGTTCTTTCCATAATAAATACTGAAGGCTTTAATTCTAAATTCTAAAAACTCAACTCTTTGCTAATTCCTAACTTTAAATGCACATTGGTCAGACAGTATGATGTGTATGACACAGATTCTTTGAATTTTGTTGGGAATTGCTTTATAAGCTGGTACGTAGTCCATTTATAAGAAGACTGAGTGTTTTTTTTTTTTTTGTCTTTTTTCGTGTCCGGCAACGGACCGCAACCCTCAGTGTCGCACCAGTACCGGACCAGGACCCGCAACAGGATCACAACCCTCGGTGCTGCGCCCGCACCTCGCTCAGCCAGTGAGCGGGAACCGGTCTGTATGTGGGATCTGAACCCTCGGCGGGAGCGCCACTGCGCTCCCAAGCGGCGCACTGTAGCAGTGCGCCACTGGGCCGGCCCGAAGACTGAGTGTTTAATGCAGAACTTTAATGTCAGAATTATCAGACTAGATAACATTGCTAAAATATTTTAATTCAATGTATATGGCAGAATGCCTTTTTATACACACAGAAAAAGGAGACTAATCTTGAAAATATGTAAATACAATTTATTTAAGAGAAAAGCAAACAACGCAAAGGACTTTAGAATGAAAAGCTACAATTTCCTGTTGAGTTTTCCTTCTCTCCAGAGACTAGCTTTTAATTGTTCCTAATTTTACTGCTTCTGGATGTTACTTTGTCTCTAAATAGTATGTTGTATACCATTATTTCTTGATTTATAACCTTAGATATTATCTAGTGACTATCTCCTCTAACATG